TGCGCGAGTTAGCACGAAACACACACCGCGTAGGCAGTTTGAGAGCAAAACTCCAACCGCGTAGGCTGGCACAGGCGTTTTAAAGCCTGACATACACCTCGCATAGGCCATTCCGCATGGTATTTGCACATGGCGTAGGCGCCGGCGTAGGCGTTTGATACGTCATCAGCATTACCTTCCCAAAAGAAACTCTGCTCGACAGTTGGGTAGTCTCCACGAGCCTTTGAAACCTGAACATGATGGCTACACTTTCCAGGCATCATGATACATCCCTGTACAAGTATCTCCATGAATTGATGGGTGTCTCTAGGATGCCCCTTCAAATGCCCAGGGTTGGTTGATTTCTTAAGGCGGCCCAAATGGACCGCGTTTTGGTTCCAAAGTTATGGGACACGTGGAGCGGATCGTTTAACAAATTTCAGTCCAGAGCCCAACTCGGTCACCACGGCCTGTTGACTCGTTGGCGATTTTTGGCAAGAGATCTTTGGACTTTAATTTTTTGGTAACTGTGGAGGATTCCAATTGCAGCCACACAAAATCAAGAACCTCTCAGAGGGGTCGTTTCAGCAACCAAGATTCTGAGTGCCTCTGTCTGTTTCGCTCATCGCCAAGGATGGTTCTTCGATGTGTTCCAAGACAAGGCGACGGCGCGCGGGCAAGATGTGATTCCGGTTGCAAGAGCGACAGGACCAGGCTACTTAGGATGCAGGACCCTGCAAGACCACCTTTGCCCACACCCGTCTCAAGTGGGATACGCAGCGGGGGGCTCGGGGTCCCCAAATTGCCCTGAAGCTGACGTAGACGTCCAGCAGTAAGGACCGTACAAGAAGTTCATTGTCTTCCCAAAGGGTGTCCCACCTTTCATTCTGGAAAACGTCTTCCTCAACTCAAACATGCAACATGGGCGTGCGTGAGAGAAATCGGAAGGCCCCTGAAAAGGGGTCTTGCATTGCGAAACACACACCGCTAGGTCCCCCACTCGGTGCCAACTTTTACCAGCTTTTTTTGGGGGAGGGTTCCCCTACTAAAATAGACAAAACAGAAAAATGTCGCCCTTATTCTAACCTCTCTGCTGGAGGACGTAGTTAGACTGTAAGTGCCAGGCTGCAGGACTTGTTTTTGATCTCAAAACGGGCTTTCGGTGCATGGATCGTGGCGCAGGTATGGAGGGTTTGATATGAAGTACCGTCAGAATTACTTCTGTTGAGTTTAGTATTCGGTGTTTCATCATTGTGAAAATGCACAAAACGATGGCAAACGATAGGGGGCTCTCAAACTAAGTAGCGAAACGGCCGTGAGTAAGTCATTTCGACCGTGCCTCATGTGAACAGAAGCTCAGTTGCCCAAAGCGAATCGACCTTTTGACCTTTCGTTTTTTCCTTTTTGGTCTAGTTTTAGTCATGGCCCCAAAAGGTGATCACCTTTTATTTCTGGGTCCTTTGGGCAAGTGAGGAAAGCCTTCCCTTTCCAGCAATCAGTTGTTTTTTCCTCCTTGGCCATGGCTCGAGCCGCCGAAAAATCCGCCAAACAGTTGACTCGGACGTTGACTCATGTTTGTGGCGAGAAGGGGCCTGGGAACATGAGAAGCGTAAACGGTGACTGGTACACGCGATGGTAAGGGTCTTTGTTCTGCAAGCAGAAGACTAAATATCGACCATGAAAAGTGAGCACCCAAAAGTGAGGACCATGGCCATGACTCGTACGGTTGACCCAAAAGCATAAGTGGTATTTGAAGGATCAGATCCCAGTCCTTCAAGCAGATGGCTCCTTAAAAGAAATTCATGTTGCGACCATTTAAAAGCATGGTGGCTTTTTCAGCACCAAAATAAAGAAATGGAAGCAACACCATGTACGAGTTTTGCCATGTTCGGTTCCGGTGTGTTTCATAAAAATCCGGATCCCTTGTCAAAGGGGTTTCGCCAAGATACTGCTTGAGCAATAGTTTCGAGCGGCTAAACCCCCATTGGCTCCCAACCGACTCCGCTTCCGCGAGCTGGATCAGTTCTCGCCGCTCTTCAACACGACGCACGCTGAGCGCATTCACCTGAAGAAGCACGTGCGCTGGAGCACCTCGGACAAGGCGGGGAGACAAGCGTTGGAGCATTTCGCCAAGGGATCTTCGGAGTGAATCACTGTTTGCCAAGGGGTTTTGCAGTTATGTTGACCCAGGATCAATAAACCCGTCCATTATTTGGGGGGGGGGGTGTTCCCTGCAACAGTGATGAATCCCCACTAAAAGGGGCTATTAATCAATCAGGGGTTTATTAATCCGGGGTTAACCTTAAACCACTAACATATATTTTTTAAGAGGGAACAGAAAGCAACCGAGCAAGGCGGGAGGCGAGCCACCAACCTGAGCCCGCCCATGGATGGATGGCAGTCGGTCTTTTTTTCTACCGAGCTCATCTAGACTAGGTCCCCCAGCGAGGTGCCCTTTTGCCAACTTTTTTGGGGGGAGGGTTCCCCTCCTAAAACAGACGAAACAGAAAAAAGTCGGGTGCCCTGATTCGAACCTCTCTACTCAAAAAAACCCAGAAGAGGTACAAGCTCAGCCCAGGTGAAGCGGCGGTGTGTGGTTTCTGGGGATCTGATGCCTTTGGTTCTTGCGGGAAACCCCCCCCGAACCTTAGGACCTCGGGCTGCACACCACGAGGCGACATGGGCCCCATGGATCGCATGGATCGCATGGATTTGGACTCCCAGAGATGGATCTGGTGAAAACTCACTCGAAGTCCGCTTCGGACTTTCACTTTTGGCTAGGTCCCCCAGCTAGGTGCCAACTTTTACCGATTCTTTTTGGGGGGAGGGCTCCCTTACTCAATAGACTACAGAAAAAAAGTTGGTACCCTTATTCTAACCTCTCTACTGGAGCACCTAGTTGGGGTTGGTGGCCAGTTGTTGGTGGCCAGTTTAGTGGTGAATCACAAGTGCCAGGACTTGTTTGGTTGCCCATCCGCTTGAATCTGGGGCACTAGTGACAGGGAGTTCTTTGGGCGCATCCACTGGTTCGGAAGTGGGGGGTAGAATCTGAAACCCACATTCTAGTGATAGTGACCCAGAAAAGCGGCGAGACCGGTTTGCATCCGAGAGTTACACCCACGAAGCGCTCACCAAAGCGTTGAAGCCTTACACGTGTCGTCTTGAAAGGCGATTGGGTAACGGATCTTTGGGGTTGAAACCGCTGGGATGGTTTGTATTGGACTAAAAAGCACCACACTTTTTTGCATAGGGTCCTTCCAGCAAGTCGCGAGAGCGCTGAATTCCCTTTTGACATCGAGAGCCCTGGGATTGGATTCGGATTGGCAGGTCTTCTTGAACAGGGCTCCTTAAAAGAGACCATTTTGCAACCATTTAAAGCATGGCTTTTTCCACCAAAATACAGGGAAGCCACCATTTACGAGGCAATGTTCAGGTGCATAATGTAAGGATCCCTGTTGAAGAATGATCAACTCCCCCGTGTTACACCTCCAAACCACTGAAGGATTGGAGGCAACGGTTCCAGGCACCTCTGGTCACCAGTCCAAAGGTTGTCAGAGGGGTTCTCAACCTATTTCAAGCTAGGATTCGGGCTGTTTTTTTCTTCACATCTTCGATTTGCTGAAATGAAAAGGAGGGTTGTTTGCCCTTGTTGGTTCAGGGAGTCTAGCACTGGAAAAAGGTGCTCATGTTTTTTGGTCTAGGGGACATATTGGCCATAGTTTTGCTTGAGGTTCAAGGGCACAAAAGCAAGCCGTCTATTCTCTCAACTGAGGGAGGCAGAGAGCCTCACTTCCACCCTATGGGGTTTTCCCACTCAGGTATGTGCTTTGAGGCTACCAGTTCAGGGCTGGGGGAGGCTAAAAAGCAGGCCGGCAATGGAGGTCCATACTCATTTGTTTGAGGGCAACAGGTTTTCTAACCTCCGTTTGACGTTCAGCGACTCCTTGTGCACAAGTCTGGCCCGGCTGATCAAGACCTCAAGGTAGAAAGTTGATTCGGCTTTCCTTTGTTCCTGTTCTCACTTCCTGAGTTTATGTACTTTAAACTTTATGAGTTTGGACCATTTTATACCAAAAAATCCAGGATCTTTGGGGCCATGAATCAACTCGTTGGGAAGTGAGTGTTTACTTGACTGCTATTGGGTTGGATCTTTAGACCTTAACTTTTTTTGGAAATCAAGGGGTTTTCCGACAAACCCCCTAAAAAAGTAAAATAGAAAACCTTTTGCAGGGGGTCCTTGCAGCAACCAAGAGATCATGGCCCAATTTCTTTCAGCCCTACGAAGCCAGCCTTGGGACGCAGGTCCTTTTCGCGGTGATCTGCGCCGCGTTGGTGTGGCAGCCTGAGATCGCTAGATCGCTCGGATCTTGGTTTTGGCTGTAGGTGTCCTTTTTGGTTTGGCACCTTGGCTGCGATGTCGTCCCATTTTTGGCACCTGGTCCTTTTTGGTTTGATCGCAGCCCATGTGTCCTTTTTGGAGAAATAGAGGGCGATCCAGGGTTTACCTGGTGGATGAATCAACCAGGGAAACCCATCTATTTGCCCTAAAAGGACACCTATGTGTGTGTTCTTGGGGAGTACAACCCATGGTTTTTGAAGGGACACCGAAAGGAAAGCCACCCAATTTGGAGGGGGTCCCCTAAAAAGACACATCCTTAAATTATGACACTTCCAGTGGCAAACAGAAAGTTTAGGTTCCAGTCAACTCGTTCGGAAGTGAGTTCCAGCAGTCATCAGAGTTGTTCCCTGGTTTCAAGCTGATGAACCGATCTGGAAGCTGATTTTGCGGCCATTGGCTCCTCTGTTTCAGCTGCCAAGTTTGGCTCATGACCCCTCAGACCAAAAACCTTGCCATCTGCAAGTCCCCAAATCCTAGTCTATAATTTTGAACAGCGGAAAGCAACCCATTTTCCAGAAAACAAAAAACATAAATAAAGCAATAACAGCATTTTCCCGTTTCGCACCTGGGGAAAACGATGTCCGATTGTCTGATTTCCCCCCCCCCCCCCCATCCGCCGTAGGCTCCTGGACGGCCTGGTGTTCCAGCGCATGGCCCTCACCGGGCTGCGGCCCCACTTGGCGCTGGTGGGGCTGTGGATCTTGCTGGGCATAGGCGCGGCCTTCGACCATGACTAGGTCCCCCAGTAGTGCCTTTTTACCCTTTTTTGGGGGAGGGCTCCCCTACTCAAATAGACTACAGAAAAAAGGGTACCCTTATTCTAACCTCTCCACTGGAGGACCTACATGAACCCGGCCTTCGGGGACCATCCTACGGTGGATGGTTGCGAAATCCGTTCGCACCACTTTAAAACTATGGGTGAGACCAGTGTTTGTTGGTATTTACATGGTTTCTCAGGTGATGCGAAATGGATTTCGTCCATCCACAGTAGTAACAGTTGGTGTGCCCCTGCAAACGATTCCCCGCGCCCAAGCAACCAGATGTGTTTTTGCTAGGTCCCCCAGCAAGGTGCCAACTTTTACCGATTCTTTTTGGTTGGGAGGGTTCCCCTACCAAAATAGACTGGATTCTAACCTCTCTACTGGAGGACCTAGCCATGAACCCCCGAGTGGGAGTAGTGCCCGGGGTTGCTGAGGCGACCCCAACCCGCCCCCCCCCCCGAGCAAAAAAGAAACAATGAGGTGGGCGTGAATTTTTGAGAAGGGTAAGTGTATCACAAATATCTAGTGGGTTCATCGATTCGACCAAATCCCCGTTTCGTTTGGAGGGGAATAGGTCAGAAAGGGCGTATGGAAACGCTTTGTGACCACGCCTTTGATCCGGCGAGGGCCGAAGCCTATCGCGCAACAAGATGCATGGCCTCAGCATCTAGCAACACAGCTCATTGGCTACAAAAGAAACCCATGTACCATCAACCAGACATTCATAAGCAAAATAAATATTCGAGGCAACCCTCCTAAAGTATGGCTTGACACCTCAAATAACACATCAACACTGTTCCACCAGTTCCCCAGATCTCATTCCAGTTCCCCAGATCTCATTTGAGGTCTTTGGAGGTAGGTCCCGCGCTCTTGTGCCGGGGGTCCGCATGTGAGCCTGGGATTCCGTGTTGCCAGGCTACAACGCCCTCGTCTTTGCCCGTCAGGGTATGGTAGCAGGCGCTCCGTGCGTCGGATGTCTTTGGAGAGCAAATGAAACCAGAGGGTCCCTCCCCGTTTCGCCCCTGTTTAACCATCAGAGGGTAACCTGGCACACGAATTTGGTTTGCAGCCTGCTTCCTTTGTGGTCTATTTTTCTTAGGTCGGCTGAAGAGATGTGCAATGTTCGCATTGGTGAACTGCCCCCTTGAGTGGCAGTCTCTTGTAATAGAAATCCCGGAGTTCATGTGAACTAGTCTAGTTTCACCCAGATAAAGACACTGTTTCCAAGCCGGTATGTGGTATGTGTCAAAACCAGCCCTGTTCGCAGCCTTAAAAGTAAACCATTCACATTCTCGTCAAAGCCAAATGGATAGCCGTAGGATGGCCTGATAAGGCGCGCCAGTTGTGCTGTCCTTCATTTCCCAGCCGTCTCCCCCCATCGCAGGGACCCGTCCAAGGGCGGAGGGGCGCCAGTGGGCGCCAGCCAGAAGCAAGCCTCATGCGGAGGGGGGCGAACTGTCCTCTGGGTTTTCCGGGTATTTTCAATCGGATGTCAGATGGGTCTACGCCTCTCTGTTGGTGTGAGTAGCTCTGGGGTGTGTGGCTGTTCATGATATCGGCATATACTGATGTGGCTGCGGCTCAAAAAAACGGTACCCAAAATGGATCTCTGGTAAGTGGACACGGACCAAAACCTGCGTAACCCCAGCTGTTTAATTTTGAGCCACGTCCATGTCATTCTTGACCAAACAAAACCTGTTTGGTTTGTCTTGAGGGGAAGTTAAAGGGGGAAGCCATGTTTGGCCCATTGCTCCTTGAGCAGGTGTGGAGTGGTGCAGCGGCTACGTCTTGGAACCTCTGCCGGGCAAATTGCTTCACGAGCTCACCAATTCGGGGGTTAAAAACCGGCGATTCCACCCGATTTCCTTATGCAAAGTATACATGACTTATAGTGATTATGTCTTCCTTCATATCCTTCCTTTCCCATGACTTGTAGTGATTTGCTGGGTGGTGGTTCTCTGAACCGCGCACATATTGTCTCACACAAGTAGAAGTGGTAGGTTCCGGGCCAAGCTGATCACGGGGCCTTTGGGTGAGAGCGCCAGGGAGCTCCCCAAGACAGATGCTTGCACTTGCGGCACTTACAGAACAAGAAGTAGAATTCATTCCACATGGGATCCTTCTTTCCAGAGCAGCAAACATCCAATGCCAGAAATGTCCCCAAAAAAGAATGGGGAATGAGCCTTGTCACATGGCTGAGGGTTTATGGCACAAACAAACAATGACCATGGCCTTTGGATTTCGTGCAAGGAATCTTGAGGCGTTCCCCAGCCGCAAGACTTTAGCTTAGGCTTGGGGTTCATGACATGTCCCACCAAAAGTGGTTCACGTCAGACCCACACATCAACGGCAAAGAGGGAATCATGGATTCATAAACCCGTCCTAACAGGTGGTGTGCCCCCGCAAAAGATTCCCCACTCCCAAGCAACCAGATTTGTCTTTGCTAGGTCCCCCAGCTAGGTGCCCTTTCTCACCAACTTTTTTTGTTGGGAGGGTTCCCCTACAAAAATCGACTACAGAACTAGAGGACGATTGGCCCGAAAGCATTTTTCCACAGGCGCTCATCCAGCCGCGGAGACACCTTTTTACATCGCTGCGGCGAGCGTGTCTGCGCGCGGCGATGCTCAGTGTGTATGGTCACATGAGAGCTCCATCTCATCATCCTACTTTCCTCTCGAACTGCGCCGCACGATTTCTCACGAAAGTGTTCTGCGCAAGCTGCATTGTTCCAGGCTGCTGCGCGCAAGTTGCTCTCTGCAAGCTGCTGCACGCTGCTGCACGCAAGTGCTCTGTGCAAGTTGCTCTGCGCAAGTGCTCTGAGCAAGTTGCTCTGCGCAAGTGCTCTGCGCCAGTTGCTCCGCGCAAGCGCTTTGCGCATGTGCTTTGTGCAAGTTGGTCTGTGCAAGTTGCTCTGCGCCAGTTGCTCCGTGCAAGCGCTTTGCGCATGTGCTCTGTGCAAGTTGCTCTGCGCAAGTGCTCTGAGCAAGTTGCTCTGCGCAAGTGCTCTGCGCCAGTTGCTCCGTGCAAGCGCTTTGCGCATGTGCTCTGTGCAAGTTGGTCTGTGCAAGTTGCTCTGCGCAAGTGCTTTGTGCAATTGCTCTGTGCAAGTTGCTCTGCGCAAGTTGCTCTGCGCAAGTGCTCTGCGCAAGTGACTCTGCGCAAGTTGCTCTGCGCAAGTGACTCTGCGCAAGTTGCTCTGCGCAAGTGCTGCCGGAGCGATTTTGCAGCCGGAGCTGCGGGGGTGTGCTCCGCGTACTACGTTTGTACTTAAAAGTTGCGATTTTCCAGCCTGAGCTGCGGGAGCACGCTCCGCATACTACGTTGCGATTTTCCAGCCGGAGCTGCAGGAGCACGGTCCGCGTACTACGTTGCGATTTTCAAGCCGGAGCTGCGGGGGTGTGCTCCGCGTACTACGTTTGTACTTAAAAGTTGCGATTTTCCAGCCTGAGCTGCGGGAGCACGCTCCACATACTACGTCTGTACTTAAAAGTTGCGAGTTTCCAGCCGGAGCTGCAGGAGCACGCTCCGCGTACTACGTTTGTACTTAAAAGCTGCGATTTTCAAGCCGGAGCTGCCGCGGACCAGGGGGGAATCGAACCCGCGACCGCGGGATTGCGAAAGCAGGCGCGCAAACCACGAGACAACTTCCAAAGGCCGTTTCGCGAGCAAGAAAATTGCACGGCGCCACAGCGAGAGCGCTTCGACACGCACAATCTCCGCAGAGGGTTCGCCGAGACTAAGACAAATCCGCACGGCGCCACAGCGAGAGCGCTTCGACGCGCACGATCTCCGCAGAGGGTCGCGCGCAGACCGCAGAAATCGTTAAAAGTCCTCAGTTTTTGAACCTCGACCACGCGAATCTCCGCAGAGGGTCGCGCGCGCACCGCAGAAATCGTAAAAAGTCGCAGTTTTTTGACCTCGACCACGCGAATCTCCGCAGAGGGTCGCAATCCCGAGCGACGATCAAACTCCCGCCCCGGCGCCTTAGAAACCTAAACTAACTTACATAGCTGCTTACGCCGAAGCTCTACGCAAGCTCTACCTAACCTTGGCTCTGTGCCACTTGGCTCTATGTAACTTGGCTCTATGTAACTTGGCTCTATGTAACTTGGCTCTATGTACTTGGCTCTATGTAACTTGGCTCTATGTAACTTGGCTCTATGTAACTTGGCTCTATGTAACTTGGCTCTATGTAACTTGGCTCTATGTAACTTGGCTCTATGTAACTTGGCTCTATGTAACTTGGCTCTATGTAACTTGGCTCTATGTAACTTGGCTCTATGTAACTTGGCTCTATGTAACTTGGCTCTATGTAACTTGGCTCTATGTAACTTGGCTCTATGTAACTTGGCTCTATGTAACTTGGCTCTATGTAACTTGGCTCTATGTAACTTGGCTCTATGTAATGTAACTTGGCTCTATGTAACTTGGCTCTATGTAACTTGGCTCTATGTAACTTGGCTCTATGTAACTTGGCTCTATGTAACTTGGCTCTATGTAACTTGGCTCTATGTAACTTGGCTCTATGTAACTTGGCTCTATGTAACTTGGCTCTATGTAACTTGGCTCTATGTAACTTGGCTCTATGTAACTTGGCTCTATGTAACTTGGCAACTTGGCTCTGTGCAACTTGGATCTGTGTAACTTGTCCAAGGGCTCCGCACGGAAGAGCGATGCTTTCGGGAAAAAATGGGTACCCTTATTCTAACCTCTCGAAAACGGAGGACCTGGTTTTTTTGGGGTTGTTGTTTTGGGGTTTTTGTTTTTGGGGGTTCCTTCAAGCCTTCAAGGAATGGCTGCTGTCCATGGACAACCTCTTCGTATTCCATCTCATCTTCCGGCTCTACAACACTCCCCCGCAGCTGGTGCACAAGGAGCCGGGCAATTCACATGCGGGCAACCTTGGTTTTTTCGCCCACACAAAAACTTCACTGCTATTGGGCTGGATCTTTAGATTTTTTAACTTTTCGGGAAATAAAGGTGTTTTCCACTAAACCCTCAGTTGTTCAGTGGCACCAATTATTGTTCCTTCTTTTTTTTGGTGGCTGCCCAAAAATGGTCTTCCCCAAAAAGAGTTCCCTTTTTTTCCAGCGTCACTGAACAACTGAGAACCCACACAAAAAGTCCCCTGTTAATGTGGGGTTAGCCTTTTTGAGGGGGGGGGGACAAATCCCAAGTGGCTAGCCTTTCGGTTTTCCCTTTTTAATCCATAGTCAAAGTCTCAAAAAGTGAGCCTGTTATTTCCAGGCAAGTGAGAGTTGGTACCCTCTTTTTAGATTGGCTTCGGGAAACCGACCGGAAACCCACCTATTTTGGGGGGCCCCGGCCCCCCTAGGTCATGACCCAGGCGTAGGTGAATCGAAAAACTGAGAGGCCCTGTTCCTGGGCATCATCGGCGCCATTGGCTTCCGCTTCTGCTTCTTCGCCATTGTGAGGCGAAGAAAGCCAAGACGTCGGGAGATGCGGTCGGTCGTTGGGCCGGTTGCAGATGTCTAGGTCCCCCAGCGATTGGTGCCCTTTCTCACCGTTTCTTGTTTGGGGGAGATTTCCCCTACTGAAATAGAGTACGGATAAAAGGGTACCCTCATTCTAACCTCTCTACTGAAGAACCTAGATGTTGTTGCGTGCTTCATGTCTCAGTGAGTTGTCCTTGGTTCAACCAGCCATCTGGTTCAACAGCGCTTTTTGGATCTTTTCAGTTGGTTTTGTGGGCGGGTTTCCACTCAACCCACTAAAGTTGAACTTTTAGCAGGGGATCTGAGGACAGCCCAGTCTTGGGTTTGTTGTTGAGATGGCGTCTTGGTTGCTCAGTTTCTCTTGTTAGCCTAGTGTTATTGCATGCTGTTGTTGTGCGGGTTTGACAGCTATTGTTATCTTGTTGGCGCTGTTGTGTATTGCGCATGTGTCATTTCTTGTGGCTCCTCGTTTGTTTCGGTAGCTGGCGCGTGTTAGTGTGCTGTGGATGCTAATTGGCCTTCTGTCAGCTCGTTGTGGTGTTACTTTGTTGCTTCTCTGTCTGACCATTGCGCATTGGCGCAGAACATGTCCAGCCGTCCAGCACGAGTTACGGCTTACTGCAAAAAGTGGGATATTAGCGTTGAGCAATTTGTTGCACACCCTGCCCGAGCTTGCACGGGGAAGTTCAGACTGAACCTACCCTTTTAAGCCAAACCGCCTTTTCATGGTTGTTGCTGGGAAACATTTTACATTTTTGCTTATTGTTGTTTCGTGGGAAATCCTCACTTAACTGCTAAAACTTATTTTGTTGCTCCCCTTCCAACGTCAACCAGTTTTCCGCTTTCCATCATGTTCCATTTCCCGAAGCAGAAGTTGGCTTTTGCTGGTCTAAGCTCTGGCCCGGAGCTGAGAACCCGGTCGCATCGGCCAGATGCTTGTGAGGTCTAGGCGAACAGGTCTATCCATTCGGTCACTTCAGGCGAACATCTTCTAGGTCCCGCAGTGGTGCCCTTTTTTACCGCTTCTTTTTTTGGGGGAGGGTTCCCCTACTAAAATAGACTACAGAAAAAAAGGGGTACCCCTTGTTTTTAACCTCTCTGCTGGAGGACCTAGTAGTAGATTACTGGAAGATACGCCGATTTATCATAGCCTTGCAGTAGTGGTTGGTTCCCGTCCCGGGAGCCGAATCCCCCGGATTTGGGAATGTCCCCCAAAAAAGACTGATGGTCCAAATCATCTTAATGCACTCAGTCATAGCCAATGCTTGCCGCCCAAGAGGAGGTCCCAGCTCCCTTTTTTGAGCCACGGCCGAGTTTTATTTGGGTATTCCCCAAAATTAGGGCCCTCCTTTGGTTTGAAGGGCAACCAAAAGGAACAAAGCACCTGATGCGGTCTCTCATGTTGAGAACACCTTTCCCTCCCATGGCACTCCTGGAAGACCATTTTCCTTCTCAATGGACCCCTGTGCAAGTTCGATGTTTCAAGCTATTGGAATCCGCCGGGACTCTGCAAGAGTAGTACTCCATGAGTTCTCGGTCCCCGAGTTGGACTTGAGCCGCTTTTTGCGGTTTGGTTGAACCTTCCATTTGCCGAAAGGAAGATTGTTGTAATTGTTGCTTGTTCGTTTTGATGGGAATCGATTTCACTACTCAGGGCTCCTTAAAAGATGCCATTTTGCCCATTTGAAACGTTTTTTCCACCAAAATAAAGGAAAACCACCATTTACAAGGCAATGTTTAGGTGTATAATGTAAGGATCCCTGCTACTGCTTGTTTTGTTTGTTTTTGTTCCAGAGGGCTGAAGCAAATGGCGTGTTGCCATTTTGGTGACATTGCCAAACAGTGTAGCGACTTTTTCTGGCCAGTCTTGGGAAGCGAGTCGGCTGTAGCAAAGGGCTGACATAGTGAACAAAATTGCTCTTTCCAATTGCATGGTGGCCTAGAAACATGTGCCTCACTCACTATTTTGCAGGGGCGCCTTACTGGAAGGTTGCTTCTCGCCTTGGGCGACTTGTTGGTTGAAAATGGTGGGCCCCCAAAACGAGTAGAAGCCTTCTTTGAGGGCCCCTCTCGCTTCACCACAGCTCAAGGCTGGACTTTCTGAGCCGAAAGTAGAAAGCCATGCGGCGAAAGTCGGCCAGAAGACGTGCAGCCGCCTTGGCCCTTCTACCGCTGCTGCTGAAGTGGTCGGCATGCTTCGCCACACCTCTCAGCCCGCGCCCGCCTTGCGAAGTGGAATCCTGGAAAGCCTGGAAGCCGGCAGCGAAAGTCTGGACACCGGAGCCCACAGTACTCCGAGCGTCCTGGCGTGTCGACGCCAAAGTCATTGCCATCGGGTCCTCTCAAGCGCCGATCAGGTCGCCGCCTCTGGCGCTGTGCGTCTTGCTCTGGTCCCTTTGGAGCTTCGGCACCTACACGCTGCTGGCGGCTTTGCTGAGATCCTGCACCCGGCGCCAGTTCGGCAACGCCGAGCTGCAGCTCCGGCTGATCTGAGGCCAGGGGAAGATGGCTGCCTAGTGAGCTTCCGTGCCACCCTCCAAATCCAAATCTGTCAATTCGACCAGGGTCACTCAACTGTGTACCTGAAAGCCAGCGACTCTACCCAGCGGCGCCATCGGGGTGAAACCAGTAGGACCTTCTACACGTTGGTGACCAAGAGCGATCCATACAAAGATAAATATATGGGAGAGCCTGAAAGTTGTCCTTTTGTTTCCCTTAAACAAAAAGGCTATCATCAAAAGCGACACACGCCTGAGTACTTTCGGACCGGGTATGACGCCAAACATGCTTTGGTGATGGTCTTGGGACCCTAAGAGCAGAAACCGACTGGTTTTCATCCAACCGGTTCTGACATATATATATATATATACATTTTCTGGTGCCTTGCCTCATGCCTGGTGAATTACAAGAGTACTTCAGAGGTTGCACACATATGTATATTATATGTAGTACATATCCTGCAGGTGCCTTGCTTGATTGTGGCCTGTGAATTACAAGGGTTCACCATTCTAGACTCCGTTGTTCAACGCCGACCTTTTGACCTTTTGGTTTTCCTTGTTTGGTCCATTTTTAGTGAAGGTCCCAAAAAGGTCAACCTTTTACTTTGAGGTCCTTTGGGCAAGTGACTAGAGGTAGGCGTTTTCAGTGCCGCTCTTTGTTCAAGCATTGGTTGTGGGTTCCGGACATGCGGTATCTGGGTGTCTCGGCCGGCTCCAAGTGGCTTAGAACCTAAACTCCGCGTTTGATACCAACCCACCAGCGCTCAAGGACATGTGTGTCTGTGTGTTTGGAGGGGGGGTCCTGTTGGTTTTCCCTTGAATCAACCTGACAAAGGGTTCCCGAACACAGACTACCCCCACCCCCTGAAATGACCCCTGGAAATCCAATTATGGATCCATTTCCCTTTTGTGGGGAAGACTAGCTACATGGAATTGGGGATCCACCCACCCCAACCTGCGTCTTTTTGTTAACGGGGCTCCTGTTGGTTTCCCTTGCAACCTCAAGAAGCTTTGCGTAACACGTTACTCGTCCTTATCTTTGGTTTTTGCTTCACGTGATTTGAGGGTGGGCAACGGTAGCGCGCTCACCTATGTCCAGAGAGTCCCTCGAGGACTTAGCCCGCGATCCGAATGTAAGGTGTTTTTTAGGTTTGACCGCCAAAATGGATTTCTCGGTGTTACTGTTGGTTTCCCTTTAAAACCACACAAAGGGGGAAAACCCGCACCCATTTTGGTAGGTTCTACCTGGTTTAACTGGGGTTAGGCCTAGACAAAAGCCTCAACCATGTCGATGGAGCCACAAGTCGATAGCTTTCGGTGCTCATGTGGCTTGAAGGGCTGGAAGGTGAAGCGCAGCTGAATGAGAGCTGGCGTGTAGAAAAAAAGTGGTTTTTCAATCAAATGCTAGGCAACCGTAACTCGCGCAGAGACACACCGGAGTTCCACTTCGAGAACTTCGTGTCTCAAATCCTTTGCAAGCTCATTGCAGCGATCTGGGCGCATTCTAGAGACCTCATTGCGCATGGTGAAGGTTGCTCCAATTGGGGAACCCTGATTTCTGCTTGGAGCGGGTCCTGATCTATGTGCTGCCAATGGTATTGCTTGCTGAAAAAAGGTGAGCCGCTGATTGAAGGTCGTCCTGTGTTTTGCTCGAATGTTTTGCAAGGCCTCTCAAATGTCAATACATGGTGTTTTTTTCTTGTCGGTTCCCAGTCAGCCGGTTTTTGAGGTGTTCAGTTGTTTTCATTTGGTTACTGGTTGGGTTTCCGAATATCCCCAGTTTTTTTTTAAAGGGAAAGGCTTGGCCTTTAAAACAAGTGGAGTCCTGGGAGGCTTCTGACAGGGTCTCATGTGGGTATCTCCAGAGAAAACCGCTGGTTTTAGTCCATGTTTCCTTTTGGGCACCTATTTTGGAGCCACAGCCACGTGGGTATGGCTCAAAATTGAAGAGCTGGGGTTAACGTGGGTTTTAGTCGTTGGTTCCACTTACCAGGGCAAGCCATTTTGGCTGCCACTTTTTTGAGCCACAGCCATGTAGGAGAGCATCGTGGCAAACCCTGCACCAATGGAGACAGAGCCCCTCACGCCAACGACTGCGTTCAGGAGTTTCCGTCCCATGCATCGGAGTGTCCATTGTTGGTTTTAAACATGAGCTGAGTTTCCGATTGGAGGTGAACCATATCGAGGCCAATAAGCAAGGAAGAGTCTTGGAGAGGAATTGCATGGAGTCCCCTGAAATCCACTTTGAAGGTAGCTGGTGCTGGAATCCTCCCTTGGTTCCGGCCCTCCCTGCTACTTGGCTCCCCAGAAAGATAGCGAACCCTGCTCAGGGGGTGTGCATCTTTTTCTATGTCCTTTTCAGAAAATGTGGTGTATCCAGTTGCTTAATGAGTTTGTTTTGTCTAGAACAAACCAACCATCCTTGTTGATTATTGTAGTTTGCATATCAAAAAAGCGGTCATAGGTGGCAAGAATTGCGTGTTATGTTTAGTGGTGGACTTCAAACGTTTCCGGAAGACCGTTTTAGTGGCAACCAACAAGTGTGGTGACTTTTTGTTTGGCCACTCCACTCTTTCTCAAAGAAAGCACCGGAAAGAAGAAAGCAACACTTTAGAACAAAGGAATGTTCTTAGCAAGTGGAACCTTAAAAGTGGCTAAAGTAGTCCTCAAAAGGAAGGTTCTCAAAGCTCAGTGGTTCCCAGCCATCCGGTTCCTTAGCTGTTTAGCTTTTAGAGTTTGGTGGTCGGATTTCCGAATTTAACCTGCTAAAAGTTTTATATATTTGTTATTTTTATTTTATTATTTTTCGGGGGGGATCTGAGGGCCAGAAAGGAATGAACTCTCGAAAGGTCAGTGGAAAGAAAGGAATGTTCTCAAAGTGACGCTCGGAGTCTTCGGAGTGCAGGGAGCTGCTGGACTTCGTCAGCTGGTTCCGCTTCGTCTTCGGGGGGTTCCTGATCTGGTGCGGCTCTCGACCGCGGCTCGGGGCGGTTCGAGCTTCTTCCTTTTTTTGGGGGGGAGGGAGGAGGTAGCCTTTTAGGGGTTGGATGTAAAGGGAGACCCAAAGAAAGCATTGGGGGTCGATTGTTTTTCTTTTTCTTTTTTTAGGGATTGGATGATTTTCTTTGGTGCATGTTGCCAAGGGATGTTAGGAGTGAATCACTGTTTGCCAACCAATGGGTTTTCCGTATTAAACCACGAAAAGTGAAACTTTTAGCTGGGGAGCAGAAAGCAACCGAGCAAAGGGATACCAAAAGAAAGCAACTTTGGGGATCCGATTCCTATGTTAAGGCACACTGTTTGGTCTTTGGCTCACCCCCTGAGTGGGACTTGAAAAGGGCTTGGACCATGTGGCAAACAACAAGTTTGAAGACTTCTTTGGACAAGTCCACTCAAGTCACGTCGGTTTCGCTCAAACAGGTGGCGGCTTTGCAGGGCACCGTTCTCTACTTGTTTGGCTTGCTTAGATGAGATGGGGAATGAACTGCTCAGGGATTCATCTTCAGATTTGCCCTTCGAACTTCCCCGTTTTTGCCCAAAGAACGTGGGAACGACACCTCAAGCTCTTCGGGAAGGCGTTGACTCCGAGAAACGCACGCCGGCCACATCTCCAAGCGTGGAGAACCCCCAAGGCCTTCCAGTCCCAAAAGGTAGGGGAAGCCTCGCAGGTGGCTTGCTGGTGGCCTTAGTGTAGTCGAACACCTGCGATCTTCCGATGGGGCACGTGAAATCCCGTGTGAATCTGTGATAGATAGATAAAGAGATAAGTAGATAAATAGACAGATGCCAGGAGCGGCGTTCAAGCTGCCAAAGACGAGGAGGACGGGTGCAACACGCCGCGGGGTTCGGAAACGCCACAGATCGATTTGCTGCTGCCAAAGCCTCACTTGGCCTGCCCAGTGGATTTGTAGGCAAGCCGTTCATTTGAAGGTAGCATCATTTTGACAACCCCTCCCCATTTTCCATTCGGCAGGTTATTTTTTAGGGGCCCCCAAACACCTGCTGGTGTTCCTTTTCGTGTCCCTTAAACAGGTACCCTCAAAAAGCCATGTTGGCACCACTTAGAGGCCCCAAAAAGGCTTTCCTGTTGGCAACCTGCCTTTGTGCCAGCTCTCCTGTTAAACGAACATTGATCAACCCCAATGCGACCTGCGATTTGCTGACATATAGATGGCGAGCTCCCTTCGCGGCCTCCTTCCGTGGCCCTTTTGGCGACCCAACATCCACTCCACCTTCCTGGGTTCGTCAAACATAATCTGGCTGAAGGGTCTCAAACCAACAACGCAAAAAAACAAGTCGCTCCGTGGTTCTCGAGTTTGATAGGGTCCTTTTGCGAGCGCTTAAGAAAGAGGTCTCCGGTACCATGGGAAGCCAACGAAAACTCCCATGGGAAACATCTCATCCTTTTCGTGGTTTCCCCAATGGTCATCCCATGTTGGGACCTTTTGATCAACCCCCTCAGCTGGCAACCTTACTGGTCAACTCTCAGTGAGAGGCAGTGCGCGGGCACAGAATCCAACGGTCCAAGTATTTGAGGATAGGGTTGAAGTAACTCAGGTACTTCAACCCTTGAAGGACATCAGATAAACTTTAACCTTCTACGTGTCTTGCTTTGGGACTCGCACCACATAATGATGGTTTTCCGTTTGGTGTTAAAGTGACAGCTTCCATCCCCCTCCGAATCTCGTTCTTTTTTGCGGTGTGGTGTCAACTTCAACCCCTTATGAAATAAGCCCAGGTGGTATCCCAACAGCCTCGGAACCCCTGGGGAACCCTCTGGAACTCTCCCTGAAAGCTGCAACCTCAACCACCCCACAGCCAATCTGCGCCTGTCGACCCCATAGCTTTCAGCTGTCAAGGAAAAGGTGGAGTTTACATTGAGAACCACACAACGGAGGTATTTATTATGGAAAACCGGGGTTTCCAACAAACACCCCTTAAAAACAGCCATGCTTTCAAAAGCCAAAACAACACTAACTCAACCAGCTTTTCCAAAAGAAAGAAACACTTCAAAAAGCCTGGTATTTCTTAAAGTTGGTACTTCTTAAACTTTATCCATGGAAAACCCACAGCACAACAAACAAAAGCGGACGCTTTGCCCATAAAAGACCCACGAAAAACACAAAAACCCGGGCGCTCGTCAGGAGGGAGATATCCAAGAGACGCGCCCGGTGCGGGCGCTGCGCTGGGCCTTGGGCAGCCGACTTCAAGAGGGCTACGACAAGGAGACCCGCGAGCTTCATGGAGAGGTCCAGCGGTGCCCTTTCTCTTTCTCACCTGTTCTTTTTTTGGTTGGGAGGGGTCCGAACCCTAAAATAGACTACAGAAAAAGTAAGGGCGCCCTTATTCTAACCTCTCTACTGGAGGACCTACTAGGTGTTGGTTTGGTGGTGTTCAAGGAAAACCAAGAGGCAAATATGTTTGTTTGTCGGGGAGTGTGGGGGGGGATTGACTTCCATTTGCTGAAATGAATTGATTTGTTGAGCGCTCGGCGCGAAAAAATCCTTTGTTTTTGTAAATTTTCCATTTGGGGGGTTGACTTCCATGTGCTGTTTCAGAATATGGCTTTATTGGTTCTCGTTGGTTTTAAAGGGAATCAATTTCAGAAGTGCACATTTTTCCCAGGTGGCTTAAGCCAATGGAAGACCAGTGAACTTCATAGATAAATGTTGTTTTTAAGGGTAATCTTTTGGTTGGTTTTAAAGGAACACCAAGAGGAGAGCCATCATTTTGGGGGGGGGGGGGTGCTTTGAGGGTATCCCCGGTTTGTGTGTCTAAAGTTTCACTGTTGTTGGATCAACTTGTTTTCGGTTTTGAGGTTTTCTGGGCTCTGTTCATTTTTGGTAGGGGGCTGCACTCACTCAATGAGTTGCTGGACTGATAGGATCCTGACTGAACCAGTGAACTTCATTGATAGGTGGTGTTTTTCAGAGTAACCCTCTTTGGCGATTTGAAAGGAGCAGCAGAGGGACATCATTTGGGGGGGTCCCTCTCTCCCTGAGTTCCGTTTCGGACTTTAGTCACTTTTTGGGTTTGGACCATGTCAGATGTAAGCAAAAAGCTCAAGCGATATTCCCAACAATGCGCTCTTTTTTCCGACCCTCGCGGAACCCTGCGAAGCCTTAGCAGAACCCTCGCGGAGCCCTCGAAAAGCCCTGCAAAACCCGCGCACGACCCTGCGGAACCTTGCCTCAGAGCCGCCCTGGACACCCCGGAGCCTATCTGGGCTGAGACGCCAAAGCTTTCAGCTGTTGTTTAAAAGATGTAAACAGTCTGGGTACGTTACTTGACCAATCCACTCGATCGGAAGTGAGAAGTGGTTCCCTTTTGTTGAAGGTGTCATCCCCTATCTGTGGTTCTATAAGGGAAACCAACAGAAAATCTGAAGCCATTTGGGGCACACAAGCCATGACAAAACCTGCTGGATTAACGCGTTTCACCCTCCAAAAAGAAGCATCCCCCATAACAAGGAGACACCCCCCCCTTTTAACCAAGCAGGGGACAGTTGTTGGGGGTGAACAGCAGCGAAAGCCCGTAGTCGCTTGTTACTTGGACCTGCACTGATTTCGGGGGCCGTGTGTTTGGTTGGGGTCCTCGCGTTTTGTTTGGGTCAGGTTTTGGGGCTGGGGTTGGAAATCTTCGAGAAAATGCTTAGGGGGGATAGACTCAAGAGGCTATCGGACAGACAACGGCCAGGGTGTCAATGCGGTGGCCGGGACGTGAGTTGCTTCAGGAGAATGGCAGCATCTTTGTCTGGAAGGACCAGAGACTGACCTTTACTCTGATGCTGCCGGTGGTATGCTGCGGCTGGACTGCAGTTTGCAACGAAGGGCGTGAGCCATTTCTTTGTCTCCAAGCGGTTGGGATTCATTTGGGAGTTGGACGTTCCACCGAGTGATTCCAGCTAGCCACGAGATGTGAACCGCTTCAACGTTTCGATGTCCGGATGGTTTCCCTGGTATACCAACTTGTGGACGAAATCCTGCACCGCATAGATAAAACTATAAAGCCCTATAAATACTGCACACTGGTGCAGGATTTTGTCCATCCGCCAAGGACACTTTTAGACCTCCATGATGTTTTCCATGTAGAATGCCCTAGAGTTTGCATTGGGGCACTTTGTTTCACGCGACTCTTGGCAGAGAAAGATGTTAATTGGGGGGGGGGGAGTTGATGGTTCAAAGGACATGGAGGTTGCATGTGGGTTCTCAAAAACAAAATGGCTGTTGTCCTTTGGGTTTCCAATACAAAACAGCTTCAACAAGGGCACTGAGGCTAAAACACACACACACACACACACCATGTGGATTGAGCTCACTGGAGGTGTGAATTGGTTGGCACATCTCGGCGGACTTTTCTCGAAGTTCCCCAAGGTGATGGACCCATTGATCCACAGGCAAGCCAACCCTAACTGCTTTGTCATACCCGAGAGGGGTACCATTTCCCAGATCTTCTTGTGAATCCGGGCTCTTGTTGCTATGTGGAGTAGATTGCTGTCTTGTACTTTTACTTTGTGTATTGAGCAATTGCAACTTAAGTTCTCTGCATGTTGAGTCTTCGATCTGTCGGATGCCCTTTGGGCATAGTCCTGTTTAAAAAAGTCTCGCACTATCAGCTGGGCCTTTCTGCCAGCAAGCCCAACCTTTTGCTAGGCCCATGAAAAATCTAGACACCCATTCAATACTCCCCTTCGGATGAATGGCAAAAACCTACCAAAAACACACCTACTAGAGGAAACTCCTTTTGGGAATCGGAGCCCCCTTTTCTTTGGGTTCCTGCTGTTCATTTGATCAGTAGTGCTTGACTATCAGATCATCATTGGCCATGAGCTATCCAGAAATAGACACCCCATATTTAATCTACAGAATTTATGGCGAGCTCACCTGGGGGTAAAACGAGCTCACCATGGGAAAGATCCTTTACTTGGAAATCCCTTATTCCAGGTGTTGGAAAATATTGTAAATTTTGCAGAGACCGCCTTCGCAGGTTTGGAAATCACGGACCTAGTCTTCGCCCTAGAACCTCGGTCAAGAAAGATGACTCAAGACGTGAGCCAAATCTGGCGGGGCACGACCTTTCCTTCATGGGAATTGGGGTCTCACTCTTTGAGTTCCTAAACTTTATACTTTTTGGGAAGACCATATTGGCGGTAAATTACAAGTCCGGACGTTTTTGGCCAAACCACCCAGGAAGTGGGGTGATGCCCACTATGATATCTGGGACCTTCCCCCTTGCAAAGAATTCGTTGGGCGGCTGTGCACGATCAAAACCGATGCTCACCTGCCTCTCAATCCGACGGCTTGACGATTGGGATCCTTTTGGTGTCCTTTTTGGTTTGCTTTAAAAATTGGTTGGGCGATTCCTGGAGAACACCTGGTGGTTTTTGCTCATCTACCAGGGAAACCCATCTATTTGCCCCAAAAAGGACACCTATTGGGATCTGAAGACCGTTCTTTGAGACACTCTGCCGCTTAGCGACTGATGGCTTTCGGAACTGGCACGGGGCAACTGACTCTTCCGTACGCATAGATTAGGTCGAACAACGTGTCACGAATTTTGGGAATCTCTGAAATTCAGTATATTGATGTGGTGTGTCTTTACAGACGACCCACAAAATGGTGGTGGTCCTTTGGGTTTGCCCTTAAAACCACCAAAACATCGAACCTCCAAAATGACGCAGCCATGTGTCCGAGTATTGGAGAAGGGCGTTGCCGAGCTGAAGCCAAAAACCTTCAAATCGGCACGTGTCACGTGACTTCCGTGTGGATTTTCTGCTGGAGCCGTGGCTCTCATGGTTTTTCATGAGGCTACCCGTTTCCTTGTGTTTTTTGGGAAACCAAAAGGAAGGCCAACATCAATTTTGGGGGTTCCTTAACAAACGACGCTGGGCGAAGTTTTAAAGGTTGGATCATAGTATAAATTGTGCGTTCTCACTGGAGTCCGTCGGGCAGGAAAGGAGGGCGTTTAGCAACTTTCTTGTCTCAAACCAACTTTCAAACTTGATTCAAGTTTGTCTTCATTTAGTAGTGACTGGAGCCAGAAATCCGCAGTTTGTTTGCAGGAGAAAACAACGACATGGGATTTGAAGGACAAACCACGCCGATCGGTTTAGCCCCCGCTCGCTTGCCTCAGGACAGCGTGAGCGCCAAGGCGTGAGTCACCGGCTCGCCCCAATCAAAACCGTGGAAGGCGAAAGGGCGCTCAAAATACAACAGCTAGGGTTACGCATGTTTTAGTCTTTGTTTCCATTTGCTAGATGCCATGGCTTACTCCCAATCGGTTTTGATTGCTCTGGAGGTCAAAGGAGCTCGCCCAAGAATATGCTCGTGCCCGAATATCCGATACAGATCCAAATGTTGTCCAGTTTATGCTTAGGAACTTGCCCACATATTTGGGTTTGTCAATTTCGAGGCGTGGAATTATTTGAAAGTGAACCAAAGGGCACACCACTTTCGTGGACATGAGGTGGCTTTAAACATCACCTTTTGGACAGATCTAAAGTGAGCTTCTGTGGGGGCGGGGGTAAATATAGGGAGGCCTGTTGTCCCTGGTCATGACCTCTGTGTGGTCTGATTTCGGTGCATACTCGAAGGTGTCACGTCACCATCAAACCTGACAGAATGTCAAACCGTTTTGAATTGAACTTTTTGGTCGCTTGCATGGCACACCGGAGGGAGGGTAGTGGAAACCCGGTTTGTTTGCACGAATGACCTTGAACCCACCCTACGCCAGCCCTAAACCAACCCTATAACCTGCCCTGCACCACCCGAGAACCCCCACAAAAGGTGTCCCTTCAAATCAAACTAAAAAAAGGGCACCACCTCCGGTAGATCATCGGGGCGGGGGGGCGGGGGGGGGTGAGCACATATAACATTGCCCGTTTAGGATTACACACGCATTTTACTTCATAGAGCTTTTCCTAGGACCCCCCAAACTCACCACCTCCTTTCCCCACCTTCGAGGACTTGCCGTTTCCCGCACAACATTGGGAAATGTACACGTTGTTCCGGTAACCATCATCATCATTATTGTCACTAGTATTATTATTATTGTTAGTATTATTATTACTATTATTGCTATTATTATAATTTATTATTATTAGTAGTAGTATTATTATTGTTATTATTATTATTAGTAGTAGTAGTAGTAATAGTATTATTATTATTATTATTATTATTATTATTATTATTATTATTATTATTATTATTATTATTATTATTATTATTATTATTATTATTAATGTTATTGTTATTGTTATTGTTATTGTTATTATTATTATTATTATTATTATTAGTAGTAGTAGTAGTAGTAGTAGTATTAGTATTAGTATTAGTATTAGTATTAGTATTATTATTATTAGTATTAGTATTAGTATTAGTATTAGTATTATTATTATTATCATTTTTATTATTATTATTATTATATTGTTGTCTTTATTATTAGTATTTATTATATATTTGTATTATCAATAATATGATTATGATTATCATTATGTTTATTACTATTACTAGTATTATTACTATTATTATTATTATTATGTGTTATTATTATATTTTACTATTATTCGTACTGCTATTGTTTTTATTATTATCATTATTATTATTGTCATTTATTATTGTTGTTATTATTGTTGTATCGCTATTATTATTAATGTTATTATTATATATACCTGGATCTCCCAAAGTGTGTGCTTTTGTTCATGTCTTTTCGTGAAAAGCTGCTTTTTCAGACAAACGACACTTGTTTGTGTCTCCGGGCACTTTTCACTTTGTTGCTCTGCTGGGACAAACCATGAAGGCGACACGGCGACAATATATACCTGACCAAACGGCGACAATACCCGACCAAACGGCGACTTTTCCCGACCATGTTTCCAGCCAAATTTGGAACGACGCGTATGCAGTGACAACGCGTGTGTTCGACCAAAGGACTGAATTTTGTGCTTTTGCGGCAAAAACAGCGGGGGAAATGCACACCTGAAGAGTCATGTATATATATATATGTATCATATATAGATGCATGTGTGTGTGTGTGAGTGTTTCGGGGATTTCTTTTCTCATTTGACATCTCCGCGGCCTCGTTTAGGCCGCGCAAATCCCCAACTTCTGGACCTCCGTGAGCTCCTCGGTCCTGGCGTGCCTCGGCTTCAAACCGCGCGTGGTTCCGCGCGGGTTGGGTCTCGGTTTCGGGGGAAGGGAAAGGAGAGGCCTGACATGCTGTTCATAACCTTTTCTAGGTCCCCCAGCTAGGTGCCAACTTTTACATCCTTTTTTGGTTGGGAGGGTTCCCCTACTAAGACAGACAACAGAAAAAGTTGGTAGCCTTATTCTAACCTCTCTGCTGGAGGACCTAGCGGTTTTCCCATAGCCACCGGGCATCTGAAACCAATCCAAGGCTGGGAGTACGTGGGGTCTTCACCGGCACACCCAGAAATGTCTCCTTCCGAAAACCCACTGCGCCCCCCCACCCCGGAGGTTCTGACCAGTCCGATTTTTTTCGTCCGGAGCAGATCAAAAGACAGGTCCAAAAAAAAAAGCGGGCCAGACTTAAACTCTCAACCGTATCCCTTGTCTGTGTTTTTCAGGGAAACCAGGAGGAAAACTCCCTTTTTGGAGGTGTCCCCATTCCCTCCAAATAAGCGCCCATGTCCATGCTTTCTAAGAACCAAGAAACACATCCATTCTTGCCAGTGTGTTCTTCAACCAACTCCCCCCCCAACAAAAAAAAAACAGATCCGTTTTTTTCCCCGGTGGTGGCCTGTTTTCTTTCTCGATTTTGATCTGTTCTTAAACCAACCCCAAAAAAAACAGATCCGTTTTTCCCCCGGTGGCCTGGGTGTCGTTCTTTTTCTCCGATTTGGATTTCTGAAGATGTTCCCAGCCATCCCCTTCGCTTTTTAGCTTCCAAAATCCCGTTTCGGGATCCCATTTTGGGGTAGGTGAATTAATTCCCCGCCCCTTTTCCCGTTTTCTTGTTCCCCCGGTTTTTGGCCTGGGTGTCGGCTTTTTTGATTTATGTGTTACCTTCTTTTTCTTCGATTTTTGGCTCTGAGGAGGTGGCCTGGGTGTCGGTTTTTGGTTTACTTGTCCTTGTTTTTTTCTTCGAAATTTGGCCCTGAGGATGTTCGGGCTGCGCGCCATGTTCTTCGTGATCCAGGACTTGGTGCAGCTCTTCGAGCTCCTGAAGTATGGCCTGCCGCTGGGTCTTCGTCAGCCGCACGCGGGGGGTTTGGGGGGGGTGGGGTGGGTGGCGAGAGGCCGGGGATTGCGTGGGGTGAGGGGTGGGGTCAACTTGGGGTAAAAAAAAACTGCTAGAGCAACTGGAACAATACCTGGTAAAAACTGGTCAAAACCTGGTAAACAGGTAAAACCTGGTAATACCTGGTTACCTGGCACAGCAACTGGAATCACTGCTAGGTCCCCCAGCGATTGGTGCCAACGTTTAACCAACTTTTTGTTTGGTTGAAAGGGTTTTCGTCTACTAAGATAGACTATAGAAAAAAGTGGGTAGCCTTAGTCTAGCCTCTCTACTGGAGGACCTAGTCAACTTAGATGGCTCAAGACTTGTGTTTATTCGGTTTCGTGGGTGTTTTGGCTTTTCAGGGTAGCTTAGCTGGTTAAGTTCCTGAGGTGTTTCTGCTCGTTCTTAGTTGGTTTAGTGGCTGGGTGTCCGCTAAAAGTTAGGTCCTATTCCAGAAGGAGACCAGGAGGTGGTTTTCAGTGGCTGGGGATTGTCCTTTGGCATTTGCAGAGCGGGACCAGAGATGGAGGGCCCCAGTGCAGCTCTCAGCTTGGTGCTAGCAGTCTACCTTAAGGCAAAACTTGGGCGAATCAGAAGAAAATTAGTAGCAAGCTTAGGCCGAAAGGAAGAGGTTTGAGCACGAGTGGTTTGAGCATTGAAGGAGGTCCAAGCGGGTTGGGTCTTTCAGCACGAGATTTTCAGGTGGTTAGGGCCAATGCTTCGGGGTGATAACAACTAGGCCCCCCAGTAGTGCCCTTTTACAAACTTTTTTAGGGGAGGGTTCCCCTACTAAAATAGACCACAGAGAAAAAATCGGGTCCCTTATTCTAACCTCTCAAATTTGGAGGACCTAGACAAGGTTATAAACAAAGGTCACAGAATGCCAGTTGCGGCAGCACGTTGCGTCGCCCGCCATCTTCAACTTTGAGTCTTTACAGGCTGGCTCCCTTGCTTGCCTTCTACGCAGGGAAGTGGAATCACTGAACATCCTTGGTGATGCACAGAACGGCGGGATCCTGTAAACCAATGGAAACTCTTGGTGGAGAAATGGATCTTTTGGCTCCAACTTGCTTTGTTTCGGGAGTTCCCTTGCGGAGAAATACCTTTCCTTCACTGTTCTTGGCAAGTTGTTTGGGTTGCCGGTTTCTTGGTTCTGTTCATTTTTTGTAGGGGGCTGCAAAATGCAAACTTGTTTGCTACCATACCAAGAGTTTTGAAGCCCGACAAGAGGGTCCGCATCAGCAAGATGGTCTTCCAAGAGCCTCTAATCAGGTTCCATAAGGAGAAAACGTAAGTGCCCTGAGCCCAGACTTCCACTGGGGTGTTTCCTCTTTCCAGACTCTCTTTTGAAGGCTTGAAGCTCCCTCTACAATCAAGCACCAACAAACAGGTGCCATTTTCACGAGAAATTAATTAGGTATGTTTGACCGCCTCAAAATGGAATTCCCTTATGAACTCGCTCAACAAAGGGCAGCAAGTCAAGAATTAGAACGATCCCCAACAGGATCCGGCCCTCCATTTTCCTCTGCGCAGGAGAACTTCCAAGTATTCCGTTGCCCAAAAAGACGCCTAGGGCACCTGACAACTTCCCACAAGGGCATCCATGAAGATTTTTTACGAAATGCCGCCCAAACAGTATTGGTTCAGTGGGTCAGGGTTGTCTGACTGGCCCAAAGCGAATCGACCTTTTGACCTTTTGATTCTCCCAATCCATGTTTAGTCAAGATCCCAAAAGGTGATCGCCGTTTTCTGAATCCTTTGGGCAGAGAATGAGGGGTGGTCCAGACTTCTGTACCCAAACACCTAACACCTCAGTTGGAAGGCGTTCCCTACTGGAAAGATCTGGTCCGAGTTGAAGATCCAACGTGGCGATGATCATTTGGCATGCTGAAGTGGCATGCCGTGTTTGGCCTAGTTGATATGGGGTTGTCTTTCTTGGAGAGACCCCCCTCAAAAAAAGCCGTGTTCCTGTTGGTTTTCCTTGAATAACCGCTAAACACAAAAAGAGGGGTACCCTCAAAAAGACAGACATATGGGGAAACTGTTTGGGGCATCTTTTGAAATTTGTTTGCTGTTGGGAGGTCTTCGTTGCTGCAGAAAGAACGCCTTTGTGGCCAGCATGACCAGTCAGACAGGACCCAATGCGCTGCCGTTTTGGATTTCGGTCCAAGTCTCAGTCTGGCCTTCTTTTCTTTTGGTTTGGTGGGTTGCCCCTTAAAAATGCACACCTCCCCCCCGCAAAAGAATAGAAAGCAATGCCAGCAAGCACAAACAATGTGTTTCGCTTTTTCTCCCACCCGGGTCACTGGTTGCAACTAGTGCTCCGAGGTGTTTCATTTTGGTGTTCATCGGTGTGGAGTTGATGATCTCGGACTATGTCTCGCTGCCTCCTCACGCGCCTTCCCTCAAAACGTCGCTCACGTTGGCATGGGACTCCAGCAGCTGTTGCCCTTCCGTAGCTTGGATGTGTCTAACGTAAGTAAATAAAGACACTTTATTCTGCTCTCATATAGATATAGACATAGATATTGGTTTGACGCATGACGTGTATGCTGATATGAAAGCACAACGGCGGCGTGCATGAGCTGCACCCAGAAATACTGCATGCCCTCGGATTGTATGTGCGTGGCTCTCAGAATTGGAGGCGGGGGGTCTAAAACAGCTTCTTTTCTCTCATGTCTAAACCATCCAAGAGTGGGTCCGTCATTCGACGACACGTGTTTTCTTGAATGACTTCCAGCTGCAAGAACTCAGTGTCCCTGCTCTGGGCCCGGTTGGCTTAAATCAGGCTCGTACCTGCTATCTAGCCAAAATCTCATTCCACTGGGAAGCCAAAAGGGAACATTCCGGATTTTTATCAGACTGTCACGCGAAATGCGTGTGTGGTTCTGCTCTGGATTTCGGAATACGTCAAAAGGACTCTTCGAAGCAGTGAAGCCGCTCAGTTTTATTTGGTGTCCTTTCAAAACGCCCCAGAAAAAAAAGAACAAAAAAACAACTAGCACTTTGAAAGAAAGGCTTGGTGTGTTTGATTAGAAAGAGGTTGCTTGGCGTTTGACTAGAGCATGACTAGGGTTCGATTTGGTGTCCTTTGATGACTTGTGGCCCCATCTCCGTTTTGGGTTGGACAATGCCAGCCCGTCTGGGTCTTTTCTCGGTGCTGTGTCAGGTGGTGTGTGTGGTGATCCTCTCCGTCTTTCTCATCTCGATCGCTGGGTCATCCGCAATGCAGATGCACAAGGGCGCTGGAGGACAGCGCTTGAGCATTCAAAAAGCCTGATACTAGGTCCCCCAGTAGTGCCCTTTTGCCAACTTGTTTGGGGGCGGTTCTCCTACTAAAATAGACTACAGAAAAAAGGTGGTACCCTTATTCTAACCTCTCTACTAGAGGACCTAGGACAGTTGAACCTTAGTGGAAGATCCCAATCATAAATAGGTGATGCCGCTCTGTTGATTAGAAATCGGGAGAAAAGCCGCCCATTGATTCTTTGATTACGAGGTGCTGAGAGTCAGCACTATGGAGACTGAGTTAGGTTTGGGGCCTGAGTCATGTGACGCTCCATGTTATACATGAAGCGCCTGTGCCAGATGTATTGGTGTCTTCGCCAACGAGATCTGGCGAGGCGCAGTGGATCGCCATGGCTTTTGCCCAGCTCCCTCGGAACTCCATGGCTTGGTTGCTATTGGCTTGGATCTTTCTTGGGACATCAAGGCTTTCCCATTCACAAAAAGTGAACAACTTTTTGAGGAGGGTCAACGGCAACCAAGATGGACATCCTTGCTCACTGACGTGAACGTGATTCCACTGTTGAACACGAACACATCTAACCTAGGCACCCCGCCTTGTGAACGGAAAGAGTCAACGTAGCGCATGTCAGCATATAAGTGTGTGTGTGTGTGTATGCACACTTGGTTTGCTTAGGTATGGTGCATTGTGCCTTGTGAACGTTTGTTTGCTTGCTTTGTTGTTTTTGTGGTTGGGTGTTTGTTTGTGTGTGTGTGTGTTTGTGTGTTTGTTTGTTTGCTTCCTTGCTTGCTTGGTTGGTTGTTCGTTTGTTTCTTTGTTTTTTTTTGTGCGTTTGTTTGTTTGTCTTATTTGAGCAGAGCCTTTAAACCCTGGCAATAGTAGTAAACGGGGGTGTCCCATGGACCCCCCCGCAAAAGCCAAAACGCAGGCCGCGAAAGCTTGCGAAAGCTTATCGCGAAAGTGCCTAACGAAGGTCCCCCGGCGAAAGTCCCGCGAAAGCCTGCATGCTGATGATGAGCGGGAGTTGTTTTTCATAGCCTTACATTTGAGGTGCACTGCCGAACTCACTTTGCAGAAAGTGCAATGACCATCATCAAAAGGAAGCTGCAGCATCTGAGCTCATGCAGTCCAAAGGGTGTGTTTCAAGCAGTCCGCCGCGAAAGCAAAACATAGGGGTCCCGAAGGCATCGCGAAAGGGTTCGCGAAAGCGAGTTCATAGTACCGCTTTCGACACAAGAGTATTCGGCGCGGCTCATTTGTGTTTTTGTTTTGTTTGTTTGTTCGTTTCTTTGGCTGGTGGGGTTTCTTGATTGCTAGCTTGTTGGCTTGGTTTTACTGATTATGGGTTTGTTTGCTTAGAGCTGCTTGCTTGTGTGTTTGCATGGTGGTGTGTTCTTTTTTGGTTTGTTGCTGGCCGGCCGGCTGGCTTGCTGGCTTGCTTGTTTTATAGCTCACTTGCTGCCTCGCTTGCTTGCTTGCTTGCTTGCTTGCTTGCTTGCTTGCTTGCTTGCTTGCTTGCTTGCTTGCTTGCTTGCTTGCTTGCTTGCTTGCTTGCTTGCTTGCTTGCTTGCTTGCTTGCTTGCTTGCTTGCTTGCTTGCTTGCTTGCTTGCTTGCTTGCTTGCTTGCTTGCTTGCTTGCTTGCTTGCTTGCTTGCTTGCTTGCTTGCTTGCTTGCTTGCTTGCTTGCTTGCTTGCTTGCTTGCTTGCTTGCTTGCTTGCTTGCTTGCTTGCTTGCTTGCTTGCTTGCTTGCTTGCTTGCTTGCTTGCTTGCTTGCTTGCTTGCTTGCTTGCTTGCTTGCTTGCTTTCTCGCTTTCCTATTCGCTTTTTGTTCGTTCGTGTTGTTTGTATCGTTTCCTTTGTTTCGTTTCGTTTTGTTTTGGTTGTTTAGCTTTCCTTGCTTGCCTGCTTGCTTCCTTGCTTTCTTGCTTGCTTGCTGCTTGCTGCTTGCTTGCTTGCTTGTTTGCCTGTTTGTTTGTTTGTTTGTTTGTTTGTTTGTTTGTGTTCGCTCGCTCGGTCGGTCGGACGCTTGGTTGGTTGACCTGTTGTTTCTTGGTTGGTTGTTGGCTTGTTTGCTCTTGTATTTGCTTGTTGGTTTGTTTGTTTGCTTGCTTGCTTGTTTGTTTGTTTGTTTGATTGTTTCTTTGTTTCTTTGTTTCTTTGTTTCTTTGTTCTCTTTTTGAATGTTGAGTGCCAAGGGCTGAATCCAAGCCACTGTTCTTCAGGCAGATTGCTCACCAACCACAATCAGCTGAATTGGGCACGCACCGAAATGCGATGCTGTGCCAAGGAAAATGGCCAGTCACGTCAAACCCTTCTCGGCCGTACGGTTTATCTTTGGTTGAGTTAAGGATGGGTGAATCATATTCTATCAATACTCGAAATCTATCCTTCCAAGTGCTATGAATTTCAATAGGGACCCCCTTCTACAGTGGTCGGTGGGCAGAAATCCCCATGTAAATCTTAAGACTTTATAAATTAGCCATGTTG